TTCCTAGTTTTATGTGAGCCGCCCTGAGTCCCCTCAGGGAAAAGGGCGGCCTACAAATTCTAATAAAACTACACAAAAACTACACTTCTGATGATAATATCTAAAGAAACTGGCTGATGGTTTACATCTAGTTAAACAGATCAAAATACATACTTGGTACTTAAATGGAATAATCTAGGCTAATGAGACTTCATTTTCTCTAGGCTAAGATAAGTAATACAAATCAAAAGTACAAAAATAGAAATAACAAAATTGGTAGTAGAGAGAAGTGAACATGATGGAGCTCAGTCACATTCCACATTGGACCAGTTACGTTTTGATTTACATTATCTCAAACTATCCAAATGAATTCTCTCTGGCCTGTCAAAGGATTTCCTGCTTCTCAGCAAATAATATGAATGAGGGGAAAAAACCAGTTACCAAGCAATAAGCACATATTTCTGTTTTAAACTAGGAACATAACCTTTCTTTTGCTTTTAAAAGGAACTTTACAATTTGCATGGTTAAGATTTAGTCACTCAAAATTTAAGTTTAGTTACAAGATTTCAGAGCTAATAGCAGAGGTGGGCAATTCATTGTCTCAAGGGGCCAAATGAAAAGAATTAGGCTGTTGTGGAGTGCTGCTACTACCCCACTCCTCTCTGCCATTGCCCTGCTGCCCTGCCATACACCACCATCCTGACCTCTCCACTGCTGCCACCCTGCTATTACCACTGCTTTGTTTTCCCCCTCCACCTCCGCCCCATCCCCACCACTAGAACCCCATTTCCTCCATTGACCCGCTGCCCCACCCACCAACACCATCATCACTGCCAACACCAGGGGCGAGACTCAGCATAGTATGAGTATTCAGTATTCAGTATTATGCTGAATTGGAACATGCTAAATATATGGAGAGTGTGGTTTGGCCTGTGAGCAATCCCAGCTTGGTGATGGCAGTGGTGGGGTGGCACAGAATGATGATGGTGGTGGGTGGGACAGTAGGGCAATGGAGACATGGGGTTCTAGTGGTGGGGATGGGGCGGTGGTGGAGAGGTGATGGTAGACAGAAGGGCAGGGGGTTAGTGGCAGAGGAGGGTGAGGCAGCAGCTGCTCTCCACTTTTGTAAACGTGTGAGTTGTTGTTGTGATGGAATTGACACGCAGGAGCCATGTGCAAGACAGATCTTTATTNCTTCCTCCCAGATTTGGGCATACCAGGGGTAGTGACTTTAAATATATACATACACACACACACACACACACACACACACACACACTTTAACCAAAATCACCTATAATTGGAATCTGGAATCGTAGCAAATAAAGGTCGAAGGCATGGATGGACAGGTGGGGGCCATAAAAAGCTACAGGTGTTCCTCATCCTACGACCATAAAGTGAGCCCATAATTCCCTGCGTCAACCAAGGCTGTTTTTGAGTGAGTTTCTTTGATCCACTTCACGACTTTACTTGGCACCGTTGTTAAGTGAATCATGGCTGCAGGGAAGCCAGTGACACCGTTGTTAAGTGCATCCGGCTTCCCCCCCATTGGAAGGTCGCAAAAGGGGATCACGTTGACCCCCAGGGCTCTGCGACCGTCATAGATGCGAGCCGGTGGCTCGGCGTTTCGGATTTTGCAATGGTCGTAAGTATGAAACATGGTCACGCGTCACTTTTTCCAGTGCCGACGTAACTTCGAATGGCCACCAAGTGAATGGTTGCAAGTCAAGCATTACCTGTAGAGGGAGTCCTCAACTTACAACGGTTCATTTAGTGACCATTTGAAGTTACAGCGTCACTGAAAAAAAGCAAGTGAGGACTGTGTTCACATTTACGACCGTTGCCGCATCCCCTTGGTCACGTGATCCAAATTCAGGCCCTGGGCAACTGAATTGTATTTACGACGGTCCCGGTGTCCCAGGTCATGTCACCACCTTTTGCGACCTTCCGACAGGTGGGGAAAGCCGGATTCACTTAATGACCACGTGACGGGCGTAATCACAGCAGCAATTCGCTTAACAACTGTGGCAGGGAAGGGGACAAAAATGGGAGAAAAACTCACAGCCCAGCTTAGCAACCCAAAAACTGGGGGGCAGTTGCGGTCGTAGAACCGAGGACCCCCCCCCCCGACGTCCTTTTGCCCAGCAAAGCCCAGCAGAATGGAAACCCAGCATCCCCCCCCTCCCACCTCATTGCCCCCCCCTCTTTCCCCGCAGGGCCCTGAAGTCCAGCCAGCGTTCCTTGTGCTCCATGATGATTGTGGACACGCCCGGCCTCCAGAACCCCGAGATGGCCGGGCAGAGTCGTGGGGCCACGTTTGAGGAGCTGTGCCACAACTACGCCCAGGAGAGGCTGCAGGGTCTCTTCCACGAACGCACCTTCGTGCAGGAGCTGGAGAGATACAAGGAGGTAGGCTTCTTCCCTGGGGGCGGGGGGGGGGATCGCGGGAGGGCGCTGAGCGAGTCACAGCCCCAAAGAAGAGGGGTGAGTGGGTGGGTCAAGCAACGGATGGAAACTGAGCAAGGAGAGAAGCAACTTAGAACTAAGGAGGAATTTCACAAACAATTGACCAGTGGAACTCCTTGCCACCAGAGGTTGTAAACCCTGGAGGTTTTCTGAAAGGTATAGGAGCAGGGGTTGGACTAGAGGACCTCCAGGGTCCCTGTTACTATTCTGTTAAGCATGGCAACTAGGAGAGAAGCGACCTGGAACTAAGGAGGAATTTCCTGGGCAATCGACCAGCGGAACTGCTTGCCACCAGAGGCTGTGGGTGCTCAATCCCTGGAGGTTTCTAAGAAGAGAATGGGGAGCCATTTGTCTGGAATGATATTATAAGGTCTCCTGCTTGTGCAGAGGGGTGGGCTAGGAGACCTCCAAGGTCCCTTCTAACTCTGTTATTCTATGATTCGAAGGAAGGAAGGAAGGAAGATGAGAAAGGGAGAAAGAGGAAAGGAGAGAGAGGAAGGGAGGAGAGGAAGGGAGGAAGATGAGAAGGAGAAAGGAGAGGAGGAAGGAATGAAGAGAAAGGAGAGGGAAGGAAAGAGCGGGAGGAAGAAAAAGGGAGAAAGAGGAGAGGGAGGAAGGAAGAAGGAAGGAATTAAGAAAAGGAAGAGGAGAGGGAAAAGAGGAAGGAAGGAAGGAAGAAAAAGGGAGAAAGAGGAGAGGGAGGAAGGAAGAAGGAAGGAGTTAAGAAAAGAGGAGAGGGAAGAGAGGAAGGAAGGAAGGAGAGGGGGGAAGGAAGGAGGAATGAAGAGGAGAAAGGGAGAAATAGGGGAGGGAGGAAGATGAGAAGGAGAAAGGGGAGGGAGGAAGGAAGGAAGAGAAAGAGGAGAGTGAAGGAAAGGGAGGAAGAAAAAGAGAAAGAGGAGGGATGAAGGAAGAAGGAAGGAATTAAGAAAAGAAAGGAGAAGGAAGGAAGGAGAAGGAGGGAGGAATGAAGAGAAAGGGAGAAAGAGGAGAGGGGAGGGAGGGAGGAAAGAGGGAGGAAGATGAGAAGGAGAAAGAGGAGAGGGAGGAAGGAAGGAAGGAAGGAAAAGGGGAGAGGGAAGGAAAGACGGAAGAAGAAAAAGGGAGAAAGAGGAGAGGGAAGAGAGGAAGGAAGGAAGGAGAGGGAGGGAGGGAGGAATGAAGAGGAGAAAGGGAGAAAGAGGAGGGAAAACAGAAACTAATCAAAGAGACAAGCAAACTGGAATTCAGGAGAAACTTCCTAACAGTGAGAACAATTAACCAGTGGAACAGCTGGCCACCAGAAACTGTGGTCGCTCCATCACTGGACCTTTTTAAGAAGAGCCACGTGTCTTAAGTGGCAGAGTTTCTCCTGCTTGAGCAGGGGGTTGGACTAGAAGACCTCCAAGGGCCCTCCCCACCAGGGTTCTTTTGCTACGCCGAGATCGCCCTGTGCCAGGGGGGGGGGGGTGTTGGTCTCCACGCTCGCCCCCTTGGAAGACTGGTGGGCTTTGACTCCCAGAATCCCCATGTGCTGGCTGGGGTGGAATTCTGGGAGCTGAAGTCCACAAGTCCTCCAATAGCCAAGCTCGGAGCTGCCTGCCCCACATATTGGGCCCTCCAGAGGGCACCTAGACCCTCAATATCCTGCTCCTCACCTCTTCTCTCTTTCAGTCCACCTGGATTTCATTATTCCCTCTCCCTTTCCAGGCGGGTGGGGGGGCTGTGGAGAGGGGGGGGCGGTGGGCTCTCTCCTGACTAACGCACTGACTGTGGTGTCCCCCCCTCCCTCCCTCCCTCTCTGGGCGCCTTCACCCATTGGCCACGGGACACTAACCCCTCCTCCTCTGTCCCTCCTCTCTAGGAGAACGTAGATCTCTGCTTAGACGCCCTGGAGCCCACCGTCTCGGGCTCCGTGGCCACAGTGGACGAAGCGTCGCACCAGGCACTGGTAAGCGGCATGGGAAACGGGGGTCCCAGCACACCCCCCCCAACTCCCCTCTTCTCCCCTCCCTCCCCTTCCCTGGGCTTCCTTGGGACCCTCCGGCCTTGTGGAAGGGTCAGACTGCCAAGGGATATGGAAGGGATGGGCACAGGGAGGCAGTCCTCGAGATACGGCCACGAGGTTTCCACTGCTAAATGGGACGGTTTCTTGCCGCCGTTGTTAAACGGGTTGTGCGTGTCCAGCCGCACCTGCCAATAAAGAATAATTCTATTCTGTTTTGCCCCGCTTTGCGACTTCCCCCTTGCCGCCGTCGTTAAGAGAATCGTTGCAGGGGTTGGGTTAGCCGAGGTAGTCCTCGGCTTACGACCCCGATGGGAATGCAAAGTCTCCGTTCTTAAGCAAGACAGTTTTAAGTGAGCCCTGGCCCCATTTTTTACCCCCTTTCTTGCCGCAGTTGCTAAGTGAGTCACTGCAGTTGTTAAGTGAGTCACGCGGCTGTTAAGTGAATCTGGCCCCTGGGAATTCTGGGGGTTGAAGTCCACATTTTAAAGCCTGCTGGCTGGGGGATTCTGGGAAACCCTTTCACAATTGCCCCCCCACCTCCCTGATTTTTGCTGCCAAGTCTGCCCGAAGTCCAGCCGCTGTGGCCCCCCAGGACGGAGGAGGACACCTGTGTGGTTGTGTGTGTGTGTGGTTGTGTGTGTGTGTGGGTAATTGGAAGGCTTGAAACCTCCGGATGGAGTTTCTGTGCAGGCCTGAGGCTGCTTCCCCTCCCCAGCCGGCTTCCCTGATTCTCGGGGTGGGGGGGGGGGAAGAACCCCAGGCCCGCACAAAAAACCCATCCCGGGGG